AAAAAAAAACTTTTAAACGTTCTTCTATCACTGAAATGGATATTTGGATATTGGAACATTATCAAACAAGGCAATTGCCATATTTTTGTTGTTCTTAATTTCTGATCAAGAATAAAAAGATCAATACTAAAGAAGATGAAATCAAAAATCGTTTTTATTCCAATAAATTTAGAAGACATATGATGTTCACCATATTACACTTCAATTTAATAATTCGTGTAATATCTTAGAACTACATATATGGCAGCGTAAGACTCAGTTTCACATCAAATGAATGAAGCATCATGTATGATTATATTGAAATCAGATACGAACACTGTCACATAGATATTGAGTAATAAGAAACTCGTGTAACTACAAAATACCCTTCTTTCTTTATCTGTAAATCATAAGTACATATTCATTTCTAGTCAACATAAACATAGTTGAACTAAATATTATCCGAAGATGTTACTCATTGATTAGGATAAAAAAACGTCATCAATAATCGTACTTCTGTAAGGAGTACGATCTTATTTTTTTCGACAGTTAGTTATTTCTGAGCAACAGCTATTTCTGCCTGAGTTTTAAGAGCTCTCGATTATTGATGACATGGATTACGATTTCCAGGAATTGCTTTTTTAGTTCTATTAGTGATGGATCTTTCTAATATGACAAAATTTCCTACTTTGAAAGTTGATCTACTTTAAAACGAAACGGTCATTGTTGTCTAAATTTTTAAGAATAAAAATACAATGCGCTTCTATTACGGGCTAGTTTTCATCCATACCCACACCCTCATGAGAGGCGAAAGTCAATAGTCTTGATCGAATAAGTTTTTCCTGTATCTTTGTATACTTCTTCCGTATCTATACTGAGTACTGACATACAAAAAAAGTAAAGAGAATGATTACAAAACCTGTAACTTGATGCAACTTGAAGTAATGAAGAATAAAGATGAACCACGATTGATAAACAAACACAATTCAATGTTATGAGACTAATACATCACATTTAGTTCTCCGGGAGTATGGTGGTCAATGAAATCAACACTTGTCATCTCCATATTTTTTTTTGGAAATCTACAAAAACAAGCTTTCTAATCCAAACGAATGGGTTTCGATGAAAGAAGGCAATTTAGGACCTTTTCCGAAGACTTGTAATGGAGAAAAAAAGACTTTTATGAAAAAGCATTTAAAGACCTTCTTCTGATAACGTATAATTTCTATTTTATTTCTTGATGAATGCAGAATGTTGAACCATCGATCTCAGCAATGGCAAGACGTGATGTCTCACTCATGGGGTATTCTTGTTTGTTCTTACAGTTAGTACGGTGATTTATATGGATATATGGGCGTCGACGTCAGTATATCCTGCTGTGCCCGTTAGAATACGACCGTAACGTTCATATAAGGTCATTTACGGCAGTTATAATCATTTACCTGGGTATTACACTCAAGTTATGACGTTCTTGTATATGATCATTCAACTAACTTAACATGAAGAATTATTTAGGTGAAATGTATCCATATGAATAGTACAAATTGCATCTATTGTATAATCGTTTTCTTTAAATCAAGTTAAGGACATCATCTACGAGACAGAAAAACAGTTGCAATGATAAAAGTAGGAAATAAAAACCTATTAGGTACGAAAACACATATCAATACTGTTCTGTTGCAAAGAACTGTAGAAGGACTCAATTACAATTGATCAAAGTGACTCTATTTTCATTTGATTAAAATTTAATTTTTAGTTTTGAATCATTGATTAATGATTTACGATTACTGGAAATAGATCAATCTTTTTTAAACGATTAAACGAATCTTGCGAAAATCATGAAAATCAGACAAAATCTAAGCTTTTGTTACGACTAAAATTCATATTTCATTTGAATAAAAATAGTGTTGTTTTAATTGATTTTAATTGAAGAAGTCATTTGTTGATAAGGTTCGTTGATTTCTTCTCACAATACTAGTCAATTATGGAGAATACATTTAATAAGAGCGTAAACAGACAGATCGCGTCGAAAGACGAAATTCTATATCTTTGAAAAGACATGAATAATATCGTCAGGAAATTCATTTGTTATTTGCATAATAGATTCTATCTATTACACTAGGGGCAAAGAATCTCGTCACCGAATAGCAACAACATAAATTTCACTCGTTTAGGTTCGTTTTTTCACTACGATTTGACATCATTCCATCTTGATCAGTTGATATATACTATATTTTATGAAGCTGGAACATTAACGAAGTTATTTAAAACTTTTCATTGATTAAGGATCAAATAATGAAATGAAGAAAGTTGAGTCGAACTTGCTAATGTTCGTATGCTGAACATCAGAAAAAGAAGATAGTTTCTTATCAACTTTTATCTTCAATATGAAAGATATGAGTCAATAGAAGAACGTCATTTTCTGACATCAGGACTTAGGTAAATAGTAGAAAAAAAGAGTGTATAAAACATGATGGAGGCGATTCGTCAAGTAGAAGCAAGGAACATCAAACGATCACTACTTAGTACACAATTGTGTTAATCAAATGCAAGTCAAAATGTCGCATTATCATGGTCAGAAACATGATTATGACAAAGAAGACTTCAGCATCAATGATAATTATCTAAAGTCTTCTCAATCATATGTTGAACTCGATAATGTTCTTCCGTAAGTGAATCTTTCTTCAAGAAAATAGTATTCCTTTGGAAAGAACACATAAAATCATTGATGAATTCAATTCAATCCTCGACACTCTGTAATGGGTACTCATCATCTAGTCATCCACAATTGATTCAACCATGTTCTTTGGATAATCAACAATTGACTATTATAACGTCTGGTCTCAGAGTATATTTAATTTGTTCAGGTCTACTCTATTTCTTATTTGTCATCGTGGATATTGGTCTAGATATTGGCCTTATCGTCACTTCGTATTGGACATGGTATCTTGGTTTTTCTATAAGTGCCTTTTTCATATCCGCAGGTATCAGCACATTGATTGCTGCATATCAACCAGCATATGCAATCATTTTTCTTTTATGGACCTATATTTCCGTTTTGGTAGCGTTCTTATTCATTTTGATTATTTCTATTGTTAATTTAGCTTTATCGAAATGTTGTGATTCAACGCTATCTAATACCGAATGTGACACTGAATTAGCATACGCTCTCAAAGCGATTCTACTTATCATGTTCATTCTCTCACTCATTCATTCTGCTTTTATCTTAATTGCTATCAGAAAAACGAACGGAACTAGAGCAAAGACAATGCCGATCCTCTATCGAGTTTTCTCGGAAGATTGACGACTAAACACATACAACATCATTCAATGTCAATGATTTCTAACTGCAGCTGTGCACCGATCAAAAAGAAAAATAAAGACTGAAAAAAACGATGATTTTTTACTATTGTTTTTATATTTATTCAATGAGAAATGAAAGCAGCAAATTGTATCATTGTGGTTCGTTAACTGGACTATATGGATGTGACATGTGAATGTAGGTGTGCATGTAGCTGAGTGAATAGAAGACTCATATCAAACACCATATCCACAGTCTTAAATAAGTACTTGGTAATTTGACGAAGAAAAGCACTATAGCACTTTTTGATCATTATAACAAATAATACATGATGTCCCAAAAGTCACACTACACTCCGAAAACCTTGGATTTCTTCATCATACTTTGATCAAATATGATGATATTTTTACCAGTGATACAAGACTACTGATATTTTATCCTCATAAGAAAAATATTGAAAAATACTGCTATGAAGTACAGTGTGCTTCGAGAATCACTTTACACGTTAAACATCTATTTTTCAATTCACATGCATATCATTGGTTTAATCACAATATCACGACTATATCATTTTTGCAAATGTTCAACATGTTGTCCATTTACTTTCACACACTTCATCCATCTATGTATAGTTTCATTCAACACACTTTGAATGATTGTGATATGCTCTGTATGCCATCTATGATTCTGGTTACGAGGTCTTCCAGCGTGTTGACTTGAGTTGCATAAACACTTGTTTTAACAAATCTCCATAAGAAAAAATTCATTGAAATGAGATCGAGTGATCATCATGCTGAAACGTTATATCTTCGGGTTGAAGTACCATTCGTTGGAGTTCTGGAACAAAAGAGTCCTGCAACATTTTCAGATATTTATCATCGGTGACAGAAACTGTGTCGTCGTTTTCACGAAAAACGAATGGCCCAATGCTACCATAACCGGAAATAACACTTCAAACATGTAGTTTTGAACTATTCTATTCGTGTTGACGAATGGTTCTTAGATTTTCTTCACCCCAAATGATGCAGTTGTGACAGTTAACTACACCAGACACATGAAATGTCTTCTCGTCTGAAAACCATAGAGATGACACGAACTGATCAACATCATCTTCAAAAATCTTTTTTAAAAGTAAAGAACACATATCTTCTCTTTGATCTTCAACCTCTGGATACAGCTATTGTACCATTTGAAAACGACATGGCTTTAGTTTCACATCAATTTTCATGATTCTGTGCACACTGCTACATGAAATGCTTATTTCTTGTGATGCTCTTCGAACCGATGTTGTCGGACTTCTTGACATAATTTCAGACACGGCTTGAATACTCTCGTCATGACGTGCACTTTTGGGTTGACTTGAACGTGAAAGATCATGAATGCTACCAGTATCAATAAAGCGTCGGTGGATAGCATAAATGGTTGAACAAGTTGGAGGCGCTTTTCCAAACTCTTCTTCGAACTTTTGATGCACCTCCACGACACTGCTTATTGTCTCCATCTATGCCGCAATTTTACAATGTTCCACTACACTGAATTTGTCTGCCATTAGCCTTTGTAATAATAAGCATACAGTTTTTGATAACTGATGTATTATTTCACCTTATTACTTTCTCTCGTTTTTTTTTCTTTCAGAACAAAAAAAAACGAAAAAATATCTCACACAAACTATCAAGAAGTACATTCTTAGATATGTTCTCTCCTAAACAGCACTTTGCTCCTATATATTTAAATATTGATGATATTTTTTTTTATCATCAGGATGATTCCTTGAAATAGTAGAGAATTGAAGAACAGAGAATAAGCAACAAAGACAAGTAGAACAGAAAAGAACATAATGTAAGAGTAAAGTAATTTGGTTCACGATCATAACATAGTGTAAGACTATGAATTCTTATTGAGCTAGCCGTGACACTTCGAAGCAGTATTTTTCAACGCTTTTCTTATGAGGATAAAGTATAAGTAGTCCTGTATCACTGGTAAAAAAATCATCCTATTTGATCAAAGTATGGTGAAAAAATCCAAGGTTTTCGAAGGGTAGTGTGACTTTTGGGACACCCTGAAGTTTAAACAAGTCATTCGATTCAGTTTGTTGATTGTTCGTAAATTGGGATGTTATATGTAAGCGACATCTTATGTAACGACCATTTTTCATTGTCTAATACTGAGTATATCGTTACATAGGAGTAGTGGGATGACGAATTGAGGACTTTCAATGGGGAGCATATTTCCATAGGCTGCATTGGTCACGGCTAACTCATTTTGTCTGTTTTATATCGAATGAGGGTGTGAGTGAGTGATGGCAGGTTTGGAGCGTCAGAACGTTCTCTTCATCATTATTCCCATACGTGCCCACCTATTTGGATGATCATTTGATAGTATCAAGTTGCTCTCTCATCAGAACGAATCAGATCAGCCTTTATTTATTCATGAAGCTATACCAATTAAAAATGAAACAACGGTTTTTCTTGACATGTGTTTGATATAGTTTTAGACGAGAAGAAATCGATGGTTAAGTTAAGAAAACAAAAAAATAACACTTAGAGGAAAGCAAACGTTTCTTGTCTAGAAGCTAACACGGAGGCCATCGAGTTGTTGGTCTTCTGTGACTGACGAAGACGCGATCTGCACCTCTACCAGTCGAGTTTGTTTGCCGTTTCTGGTTTTGTTTATCAAAGTTTCTAGTGCTGAGATCCGTATGAATGTCTGTCATAATCGAGGGCTTTTTTTCTTCTGGCTTTTTTCTTTTGTTTTTATTTGGATGTTGTTGTGTTCGACTTTGTTTACTAATATCATCGGAGCATGAGTCTTTTTTGCTTAACTTGTCTGCAATTTCTGGACATAGAGCATGCTTGTTAAAAAGGTATTCCTAGAAAGAAATTAGCTTTTCTCTCTTAGTCGTATAACATGAGTAAAGACTTCATCAGACCTGCAATTGTTCCATGTTCGGTTTGCTCATATTAATATCAATGATGTTTGGCTGTGAGCAGAATTGTTGTCGAGCATGAAGAAATACACGACGAATAGTTGCCCATTCTGCATTAAAACAAAACTATCAACTGTTTCTAACAAAAAGAATGTAAGGCTTATTGCTGACTTTGTAGAGACAATCTATCGGCTAAATTGTGGGTCAAAAGAAATGGATCTTCGATAGCAATAGTTGGACGGAACCATCCTTTTTCAAAACGTAATAGTGGTTCATATTGCCGAATGGTGACAATATGTTTCTCATAATCAAATTGTTCGGTATAATAGCGTAAAAATTCAATCCATAATGCACCTGATGATAATGTGTTCAATCCGTAACCGCTCCACACTTGATTCTGATCAACAAGAGATCATCAAACAAAGTAAAACAAATCGTTAATGAGAACTGTTAATACGTACGAGTTTGGTTAAATCATCGTAGAAGTAAATATTCCAATTAGCACATTTTCGAATGATAGGAGTGTTGGTTAATTGAACATCGTTCAACTAAAATTTAAAAGAACTAGCAAAAGTAAGCAAGATCATCGACAGAATAGTATTCACAACTTGCTGCAGAACGGGTACAACAGGTGGTTGAATTTGTTGGAGAAAGTGTATCACCATGATCGTATATGCATAACTCGACAATGTTCCACGGCTCGCATCACCAATATCACATTTCTAAAATACCATACATAGAATCAACTCAAGAGTCTATCTGAGATTATGATCTTTCAATTGAACATAGACAGAGAATAAAATCATCAATTCATACTTTTGCCAAAGTTTTCATTACGGATCCAAGTTCGCGCACACGTGGGTCAATATCTGAATACATTTTCAGTAGTCGAGTATTTTCAATAGGCTAAATAGAAGATAGAAATTTTCATAAAATATTATATTCAATGAACATGTTAGAGTAGATGAGGTAGTAATATGAATTATTAACGAAAATCTATAGTCATAATGCTTTTTGAGAAGTAATATACAGTTCGCAAATGACGCACCAGAGTGTTGTTGAGACTAATATCGATTTCGATGCTAGACTGAAGATGTATTGATCGAACGATCGGTACTCTAGCGCTTCGCACTATTTCAACAGCTCTGAATATATTCTTATTTGATTCCATGGATTGAGCTAAGTTTTCCAGAACTTGAATGGTAGTTTCTTTTTTCTAGAATGCAAATAGAAATTAAATGATCGATAGAAATGACCAAAATCGAATATCAACATTCAGTTCTAATAGAACACAAATATCGAGATCACTATGTTGAAGACCAAAACCATTATAGAATGAACCATACGCACATAAACGACTATTGGGATATGTTTTTCGAAATTCCATTTCAAGATAATTTAAGATTGTTTCGCGTTCTTCAATACCTTCCTTAGTCGGTTTACATTCTTCTACTAATCGGCATAGTTAGTGAAAACATAAAAAGTAACATTACATGTAAAACTCTACCTGCCATTTTTCGACAAAGACACGAGAGTACATCAGACCATATTTTCTCGATTTTAGGCAAATCGATTATCTCCAGCAATGATAATTCGGGACATTCGGACTTGATATGATTACTTCTATAGCACACGGTACAGACTGACGGAGCACCCTTAAAGATACAAGCAAACTATGATCTTAACATAGTTCATGTCGTAAACTTCGTACTTTATCAGCTCCAAAATTTTTTGCTTGAAACTCATGGATACCTTGGACAGAGTTATCGAGTGAAATCGCTTCCAACGATGACAGTATATTTGTGGCAATAATTTCCTCGAGTTGAACCGACTGCGGATTGACTACAATTGATGGAACAGAAACATGACAATCTCCTATGAGTTTCTGAGAGTGAGGTTCATCAGTGACATTGTCAGCAAGAAACAATGTACTCGAATCAGATGTCGATAATAATTTGAAGTCATTGATGATTGTTAGCATTTTTCCATTGAATTCACGAACTGTAAGTAGAGGTAATGAATGGAGTTTTATTAAACTCAGAGTAAAACGAATGAAAGAGAGAGAGAGAGAGAAGTGAATTTTCATATCATTTGGTAGCAAGTCTTTGTAGCACTTAAAATTCAGTCTGTCCACCCAAGATTTACTCTACAATTATCTTCTATTGAATCAGATGCGATCGTCGCTTGATACTTTCTTTTTACGAAATCTAGCATTGCTGAACAAAGTCAATATCTGATAATCGTACTTTAGCGATTGAAATCCAAAAGTACAGGAAAAAAGCATTTGTCATTTTCTCGCAGTTTTTTCGCAATAAAATTTTCTCTAGAAAAAGTTCTAAACGGCTCTCCTGTCTACGAAGCATTACAATCAATACAGTTGACACATTTTCTCATCTGACGTAAACATTGATTATCTAATTTTAAGTATACTGGTCTAATAATATTTGACAATTCTTTGAAAATAAGTCATGACCGAAAAACAAACCAGTAGTTTTACATATTTTCATTGAGGAGAACAAGATATCTATTAATGAGCGTCAGAGGTACAAATAGTGCACTGGATAAATAGGAGTGAAATTTTAGATATAGTTGGCATCAATTCTGCTTCTAGAATCTCCCATGAAATGCACAAAATGTTCTATTGAGTCGTTCTAGCTAATTGTTGAAAACGAATTTCATCTTCTTATGGGAACAAATGTCTATAATCGTTATTCTTTAAAGAGTTCTATTCCAGCTTTCTTGAATTTCATAAGGTCTCGCATAATTCTAAACGATTTTCACATTCGTCTCAAAGATTCTTCAGTCACGAACTATTATTTGAATGCGTGTTCTATAAATTGAGAGACGATTAGAATGTTTTTCATTGTTTCGCCATTGGTTAAAAGATCATAGATGGACTACGTAGTTTCACATTGTGCCGAATAAAGAGTTTTTAAATCACGTGTCAAGATCCCTCGTTTGGTCGGGACATCAATTACTCTTGTCAACTATAATAATCGATTCCACTAAGTCTAGCTCACTATTACCTTGCCGTTGGTATTCAAGTTTGAAGATACGCTTTTGATTCTCATCGAGATGTTCAACGAGTGTATCGAACGATAAAGGCTGTTCAATTATATCTTCTTCCAGACTGTAAGTATTGTCTGTGTCTTGTAGATCTTCAACTTCATCTTCCTTTGATTGAAATTCGTTTGTGCTAGAAAGAAAATGTGAATAAATTGTTCTGAATAATCAATTGACTCGATTTTGTTCACTTGCCTAGCACTCACAGTCTCATTAGTATCTTCCTCTTGCACGTCTATTTCATGATCGATGATAGTATCATCAAGTGACTCGCTAAAGTTGACTTCAATTTCATTCTCGTTGGCACCTACACTATCAGAATCTGTGTCGAAATCATCCCGAGACTTTACTTCAAGTTCGTCTGCACTCTCAACTGTTTCGTCTACTAATGGTAGTAGATTGTTATCATCATTTGATTTAAGTTTTGGTTCAGGCCAAGGATTCATTGCGTTGTCGAATGTTTGTTTGTATGCTTGTCGTAGATCTTCCTGGGTGAAATTCATCTTACGATTGATTTCAAATACTAAAGCAGCAAACAATGATTTGCACGATCGATGCACTTCTCTGATTATTGAATTGCTTTTCATTTGCTCTTTTGTGTCATTTCGACAGAAATAATCCAATGCCTTGTTGAATGTTCGTCGAAAATATTTCAATGAAGAGTTCGCTTTTATGGTGTAAGATAAGTTCCTATTGATGAGTGTTGGATCTATATGAAAGAAGAAATTTGACAATGGAAATTCTAATCGACGTTACCTGCACAAAACAGATTCCGATAAAATTTTTGTTTTTCATTTTTCAGAATTGGCATTCGCGTTTGTATTGATACGATGAATTTATTGATATTAAATTTTAGCACATAGTAAGAAAGCAATTGAAGAAAGAGCATTTCGACAGATGTACTGTTTTCACTTTTCCATCTATTGGCATAATCGTTGCAAATATGAAAGAAGTCAGTGTACTGATCGTCACTGGGTGTCACCAGTATGTTATCAGCCCCAAATACCTTTGGTTTTTGACAAAATAGAGAAGATTTAGGGAACATAATAGACGAAGACTTACATATTCATGAAGACAAGGTAGAACTGGCTCTTGAATTTGTTGCAGAAAATGAATTAGCATGAGATGAAAAACGATCGGATGAAGAGTGCCCAAATCAGGTTTATCCAGAGAACATATCTAAATTGAAAAGTAAAGGAAGTCACAGTAGATTGTTTTACGATCGAAAACAAACAGGTGACCTTGGCAAAAAATCGAAAGAGTCGTAGTAATGGAAGTACACGTGGATCGAATCTTATGTAGAGGCGAATCATTTCAGAAGAATAAATGCCTCGATTGTAATTTGATGTCACTCGGATATGGATGTTCGTTTCCGGTACGACCAAAGAAATACAACATGGCTCATGATCTGTATTCAGACGAATATTCTTGTACAAACCTAATGGAAAATAGAATAGATGAAGTAAAATAGAAACATATTGTTGCATACCAGAATTATGAACAATTTCGAGTACTTCTCTTAGAGTATTGTAAGGTAAAAGCCCATTGCATTGAACATCAATATCGATAACAGCCGAGTCGTTCAAACAACAAGCGAAAGATACGGAACCATACAGAGTAACTTGAGCTCCTATTTACAAAAGAGATTGGATCTCTGATTTACTAAACGCATTGTCTGCCGACTACCTGGTTTTTTGGCAAGGATAGTAGTCCGGAATTGATTATATAGGCGTACGGCTTCTTCAAGACTTGCCCTGGACAAGAACTGTTCGATAACGACTCTGTCAAAAACATGTTTCAAGGCTGCTAAATGCTCAGAGATTGCTTCTTTATTAGAGATAGCATTTCGATTATTTTGTGTCTAGAGAGAATGAAGTATCTCTTCATAGTATGTTGATGATAACTGAAAACAAAGGATGACTCACTTTGTTCTGTGAATAATAAAGCTCGTTTCTTTGATCGTGATTGTTCGACTCCACTACAATAAAAGAGACTTTGTTCTACGAAATTCTGAATTCCCTGAACAAGTATGTACTCGATCCTCCTCTTCTATATCTAAATCTGCCACTGGGACGAGATTTATTTCGAGACGAGTATGCGAGTTGTTGAACATGACAAGTAGTGAATAACTGATGTTCATTTGGATTTCTCCATCCACGTGATGCTGGTCTTTGTTGTTCAAGTCTCATCAATTGCCAAAAATCGTAATCGTTCTGTGTATCATTTTGGACCGAGTTATCTGTTCGTTTCTTACCGCTTTTTTGTCTCATTTTTTGTGTTGATTGATTCATTGTGTCTGAATATAATAAGAGCCAAGATCACGTCTCTAAAACAAGTCTATAACTGCGTCTGCTGCGTTGTCGTGAGAAACCTGGCGAATCTACAATATAGATAAAACATCTTATCTTCAACCTGACTCTTAACGCATTGTTGACGAAAGACACGCAGAGTACTTGAAAAGTTGTGTCGATGAGCTCTCTTAAAAATCCCAACTTTAAGGATCTTTGTCGAGGGAAGAAGTACAAGTAAAAAATGAAGCATGGCAAAAGAGCTCTGAGTAAATGTACTATACTCTTGCTTTTATTTTTGTGGGCTGCATGCTTTTTCCTCGTTTTGCTCGACGAACCTCTTACGTAAGCGTTGATTCGTTTGTTTCTGGTATTCTTTCAGAGTACCTTTGGCTATAAGATGGCGTAACATGCAATTCACATAGGTTTGCGCAACGTATACTAACTTATGCTAGAACCTGGAATAACATGACACAGTCCCGCAAAGTTTGGGATAATAAAATATTTCTGAGCGGTAACCACACTACTTCTAAAAAGGTGAAGAAAAAACCTAAAGATTTTTGAGGATTTTCCGGGCAGAGACACTGAAACTCGATCAAAACAATTTTCAGTAAAGACAGATAGGCTCTATGCTTTCTAGATTTTGTTTTTGAGTAATGTCCACCATGTGTGCCTCGAAATTGCATACGAACTTCTCTATCAACGATCAAGCAGACTTGCCTGAGAATCCGACTTATTGTTCACATTTATAAACGAAAACTATCAATAAAATTTATTGGTAAAGGGAACTCATTTCTTTCTCGGGGTATCTTACGAATTGTTCTATGAAAAAATCTAAAGCTTTCAGAGCATATAGAGACTGAACAGTCGTTTAAAACCTGTTACAGATTCTAGTTATCTCAGTGCTTTCTCTTATGAAATATGAAGTTCACAAAAGCTAAAAATGATCCAATTTTCAACTCTCGTTTTTTAGATGAATTCTGCTAATTATTTTAGGAAGAAAGAAAATTATCTATTTGTAAACAGTGTCTCATATTTGTGAGCAAAGTTTAAGCGCGATCGAATGAAGTGTGTCGGAGAATTCGCGGGGACTTACATATATCGGAATTTCTGCTTTCTAAACTAACGCTATCAGATTTCGACTATGTTGAGCATTTTGACTGGGTACATCCTTGATATCCAGAGTACATTCCAAACATTAAACAACTTCTGTTATGAACGAAACTCGGTTGTAACATAATGATGCTAGCATGGTTTTTCCTTCTAGGTGGTCTTTATGCTGTGTTTTATTACCGTTGTGAATAGCAACGGAAATCTTTCATTGATACATCATAGAGCATAAGTGACTGCAGGACTCTATTAGCGATGAAAAAAACCGAAATCGAAAAACTGGAGATTTAGAGGTTGGAAAGTGAGAATGCTTTCAAGAAGGCTAACAGCTTTCGAAACGAATAGCAGGTAGGTGTAATAGTTCATTTGTTTGAAGAAACCGGGTTCGATATCGCAAAGTCAATAAACGTTCTTTGAAAAACGTGATTCATTTACCATTTGATAACAAAGAAAGAAAAACGCAATAATTTCTTCTCAGTCTCTTATCTAGATATTGGTCTGACGAAGAGGACAAGAAAGTCAAGAGGTAAAATTAGAGCTGACGATATTAATACAGATAAGAATTGGTTTAGTTGCATGTATCGCGTGTGCTGCAAGATTCAAAATTCATATAAAAGAACTAATTGTTCATGTACACTACCTCTAGAAGATCTGTATTTCGTCCACTGATAGTATGCTTTTATATCTATGCAAGTTTGAAAGTGTTGGCTTCCTTTCAAGATGTTCACTAGTCAATTTTTCATCCGAATTTCTTTCTGATAGAAATATGATTCCATCTTAGCAGAATTCGAACTATTCCAAGGTGATAATTTTTAAGCTACCCATACTTCAGCTCTCATTTCACATCTCGTCACATTGATGTCTACTTACCGAAAATAGACGTTAAAAAATCGAAGAAACGTGCATTGAAAAAAAAAGCAAGATAAACAAACGTTGTGATTGCTTCGACTGTTTGGTTGTTCTGTTCAGAAAAAAGAATTAAAATCAGAGACATGAGGGTGTGGGTGTGAGTGATGAGAAGACTAATACTCCACATCCACATCCACGCCTAGAAAGTACGGTAACTTTATGAAGGTAGATGCAGTCATCTCCATCGCACTCCATTTGAATCCGTCATTGCAACATCCTCGTATATTCTGAACAGTAGCAAGCTGAAATCAAGACAACTTCATTTCGAACTCCTTCTGACTAGTACAAAATTTCATCTGATCGCAATTTTCTTTTTCTCACTCTATTACACATGCTTTGCATTGACATTTTTCGTCTTTTGGGTTTTTTCGAATCGTGCGATGAATCATCCATGCTCCCTCATTCTTCTGCGCGATAAGCAACCAGTCGATAGAGGAATAAATATGTTACTAGACAAACAGAACAGAACGAATATGGAGTGTAAGAGTGAAGAGAAAAGTTGTCATAAAAGCAACTTGCCTGATGTTTACGTCTTGTAGGAAGTATTTTGTTAAGGAACACACAGCTGATTCCATAGACGCCGCTTTAACAGAAGTGTTATTAGGTCGTTAATATTTTCTGTGTACTAAAAATCTCCTTGACTACTTTGATCTGTCTACGATTTTGAGTCTGATGATTTCCATTCATCATCAGACGACGTTGAATGCGGATCAAGACTCAACTTAGCAATCAGATACTGTTCTCAGTCTCGTATGTGATTACACACATTTGTATCGTGCTTTTTTGGTTGAAAGATAACAGTTATTCAGATAGCAAACGTCTTAAAGTAGATAATGCGGGAAAGAACACATTGATTATGCACTTTCCAACAACAAACCATTAATTGACAAGTGACAAGACTCTGTTAGTTGGTATCACAAAGAACCAAAACGCCTTTGTCGTTGAAGATATACTTAATTATGAAGATCAAATTGAAGGCGATGTCTCACACAGATATGAGTGAAAGATATTGTTCTTATATCGAATACATGAATGAGTTTGGTACTTTATCCGACTAATTCGTAGCTGTTTTGAAACATTACCCAGTGAACTTTTGTTCATGATGATATGTCATCTCAATTCACCGAATCATGTTCAAGCCTTTTATGGTCTCAATCAATGAATTGACAGGATTATGCTAAAATCTCTACATCATTTCGTTCTTCCATGCAACGTATGAATAGCTTGGTTCGTGGAATATATGCCGTGCATTGAGAATAGAATTAAAATGATTTGCTTGAATGTCGACTTGATAAATCATACCTTTATATGTGAAAATGTGCTTTGTAACATTCGAGCACAGAAAGATGAACAGATTAACACTTTCGAGGCGATTCGATTTTCTCAGAAAATAACTTTAACAGATTCATTTTCTTGTTTGTATCATTACATAGGCGGTCCTCTTTCACGCCGAACTCAATAATTACTCAAATTTGTTTCTCTCTCTCTCGTATATGTATTGCGCAGTAGGAATGAGATAACGAAACGAAATTTCGATTTTTTTTTCTTATGCATTCTTTTCACAGCATTATCTTTGACTCTTTCCTCGCGTGTGTATGAAAACCATTGAAATTTTGCGGTAATTTATATGCCGTTTCAAGAAACCGATAAAGAAGATAGCGCTAACTCACTGAATGATGACTTTGATAGAATGCAGTTTGAATCTTCAAGCTCCTAGGCAGAAGTTACTGTTGGTAACATGAACTTACAAGTCTGAAATGAAATACGATCAGAATCGGATGCTGAATTCCAGGAGGATTATGCAATCGTCAAAGAAGTAAGGTCAACTTCGCAAGATAATACAGTCAATCCTATTGATTGCTGTCGATATTTCACCACTGACGAAATGAGTAGTCTCATGGTTCGCGAAACTAATCGATACACGGAACAACACTTATACACTCAAAAACTTAGCAGACGATCAAAAACTCACACTTCCATGGGAATCAACTGCTAATGAAGAAATAATGAAATTTTTGGGAGCTATTATCGAGATTTGGTCGATACAAATGCCGAAAGTGGACTAAGTACTACTGAAACAAAAGCAAGTTGTACGGATCCGAAATCATTCAAAATACAATGTCGAGAGACAAATTTGAATTACTGCTCAAGTTTTACCATTTTTCGAACAATGAAGAGGAGCATATAGACCAAAATAGACTGTTCAAGTTGAAACCACTTTTGGATTTATGAAAAGTCAGATTTAAGTCCATTAACATTCCTGGCTCAATCATTACTATCGATAAAACAAACAAGGATATCATGACGAGGCCGGCTTCTCTTCAAATAATACATTTCTGACAAATCACACAACTATGATGTTAAGATATGCATAGTAGTCGATACGAATGGACACACTTGGAATTTGATGGTTTATACCGAGAAGCAGGATCTAATAACCAGTTTTGGACATCCTCAAACAGTTGTAATGAATTTATTAGGAGATCTTTTGAAGTGCTATCAAACTGTAGTAGCTGACAACTTCTTTACCAGTATCTCTCTTGCAAAAGGTTTGTCACAAAATGATACGTATCTTATTGGTACATTGAGAAGCAATCGTGTCGGACCAGGAAACGAAGTTGTTCAGAAAAAAGCTCAAACGTAGGGAAGTTTATACATTCCAGAGGAATGATGACATAAAATTGATCGAGTGGGAAGATAAAAGTGACATTTTGATGATACCCACAAAGCCATTACATTCAGCAACTGTGGTGGGCATCAGGAAAACCAATAAATCAAATGAACTCATCATGAAGCTACAAGTTGTACTCGATAATAACTACGGGAAGCAAGATATAGATTTATCAGGTTAGTTATCAGCATACTATATCTGTCTCAAACGATGTATAAAATGGTATCCAAAGGTGGTATTTGAATTGATGTTTGGAACGGCAATAGTTAATAACTATTTGATTTACAAGGAAAACTATGACACAAGCCATATGATCATTCTACAGTTTCGTGAAAGTCTTGTGTGATCTTTATGCCTTGGTATGCCACCAGTGGGTCTCATCGCCTCGAATGTATTTAGGCTTGGAATACTAAGAACTAAACTAATCTAAAAGTTAAAATTTCTGAAATAACGGTTTATAGTATTTTTGTGTTGAAGTTGAGATCAACCAAACTTCTCAAAGACAATCTATGAGAAAGAACGTTTTATGCCATGGTGATCAGCCCATCGATCTGTACAAATAGGCATAAAGTCGATTGAAAATGGAAACTCACGCTTGGGAATCTTTCCTCGTAAGATTTTCGTTTCTTGTTCGTCATCTGAATCTTCTACGATATTAGTTTAGTGATTGAAACAAAATATATGTACTTATCTTTGAGTTCTAATGCTTCACTGAAATTACATATAAAGAATGCATCGTTATTCTTTTCAAGAAAGAAAACAAGTGAGATTTATATTCATGATAACACACTTTTATTATTATCAATAATGACGGCACACTATCAATGTTTACTAATGGAACACACGTTTCTGCGATGAAGTAAGAACTCGAGTAACAAGCAAAGAGTTGAAGTGTAGAGGGAAAAATAAGTAAGGAATCATGAAGAAGAGAGATTTTTTTTGTTATTTATTTGTTGTATAATTAAAATCATTCTTTTATGTTTTTTTAATGCTTTCATTGCTAGGCTTGTGTGTATCGTGTATTTGTTTACGACAAATAGAATAATGTGTTTTTTTTCGTCCTCTTTATCAGCTTATGAGTTGTCCAAAATGATAAACACGATCAACTTTGCGTTAATATACACATATAGCAAGCAGATCTTGGAAGAAAGTAATACACACCTGTTTCAAGAAGATTATTATATTGTACTCTGCGAAAAAAGGAGAGAACGTTTTTAGGAATTCTACTGTCGGACAAAATGCAGAACCCTCAAGATGGTTCTGACTGAAAACGGCAATCTACAATATAAAGATTATGTTGATTGTATACTTTTTCTTTCAAAATAAACAGTATTCTGAATGACCAATTCTCGACGCTGCAATAGGTAGTTCAGAGAATTTTGATTTTATTTTCAAAATAAAAAGGACACAATTAAAATAAGCTGTCCTTTGTAATTTGTAGAGCTTTTCACGCTGCATCGTGTGAAATATTTTGTCTTTTGTTTAATAGAAGATATCAAGTAAAGCAAATATGAAATAAGAAAAAAAACAAATTCGTCTTTTATCAAAAAATATTGTTTTGGCAGCATTAAAATCTGATTGCTCAGAACTTTATTGAGTTTTCAACACAGAGAATGCAACTATAAAATTAGTTGTCCTATGTAGATTATAGAGCTTTTCACGCCACATCTTCTAGTATATTTTGTAGTTGTAATCAAATATATTTAGGAATCAAAATTCGTTAGCAGATTGCGCACACCTACCATAAAAGAAACGGCAGAACACAGCAGAGTACAAGACTTAGAAGGCTAAAATTTGGCACATAGTCTTAAATATGTCCAAGCATTATAATCGAATACTTGCATTTAAAATGAAACTTTTATAAGAGTCGATGGAAAAACTTTTGAAGTCCCCCATGTATTACACAAAATCGAAACCGAAACTCAAACTCGATATCCTAACGCAAGCTCAAACGCAAGTTAAAACTGAAACTCAAAGTGTTTGAGTTTGGTTCACACATAATCACAGGAGAGAAAAAGATGTTTGATATTGCGTGTATCGATAATTTTTGTAACGTGTTCAAACATGCAGACCGACAGTATTGTGTCGCAGCTATTTGTTTCGCCTTTTTCTTCGTTATACATTTATCATACTCATCAAGTAGGAACGAAATGTTTCATGAGGGAACCTACTATCTTTTCTCTTTCTTTTGAACAAGAGAGAAGAACGACTGTATTGCATACACACTATTGATATGATATTGCCTCTCATAGTTGGTCTAATTCTGTCATTGAAGAGAAAATGATAATTGTTATTTCACGTATAATTAATTAATTTAAGATAGAAAAGTAGGGGTACCCTTGTATTGCATAGCAGCCACTTGTTTTATCATTATTCTTCATTACACATGTACTATACTCATCAAACAGGAACGAAATGCATCATTATGGAACCTATTATCTTTCCTCTTTCTTTTGAGTGAAGAACAAGAACGATTGTATTGCATAGACACTATTTGTATGATATTGCCTTTCATACTTTCTCTAATTTTGTCATTGAAGAGAAAATGATAATTGTTATTGCAGGTATGATTAATTGATCAAAGATATGATGACAGGGATACCCTTGTATTGCATAGCAGCCACTTATTTTATCATTATTCTTCATTACACATTCATCATACTCATCAAGTAAGAATGAAATACATCATTAGAGAGCCTAGAATCATTTCTCTTTCTGGCAAGAAAGAGTGAACGACTGTGTAGCTTAAAAATCATTTGTGTGATATTGCTTCTCGTTCATGGCTCGATATCGTCCAAAAGTTGAAAAAGACACTTACTTTTGTGGATATCATAATTTTTCTACAGTATTAAAGCATGGAACACTACTGAACGAATGGGAAGGAAAAATGTGTCGACTTGCAGCTAGCCTGCGATAAATGGTGCTACCCAATGACAGATTATTTAGCCCGATATTCCAGAACAACTATTGGTCATGGTGACTCTATTCAAAAGCCAGGTCTTGTGTAAATTTCCTGCCCTTAATCGCTTCAGTTTTTCCTATGTACTAACTAGGTAATACTAGTGACTTGTGCAGACGCGTGTCACGATTTAGGTAGCATGTTATTCGACGACTGACCTGAGACAAATAGCGGTCAATGACTTGTCTAGACATATTCAACAGTCATTGGCAGCGAGGTTTCAATACGGTACCTATCAGATGCTGGTCGAATAACCTAGTCACTCTGCAATGATGGATGAGGAGAACGGCTGTATTCCCTAGCAGCCATTTGTTTCTCAATTTTCTTAGCTATATCGTTTACGATGTTTTTTTTTAAACATTTTCTTTGTCTCATTGTAGATTATAATAAGCATAGTTTTCTCATCATTTCTGCACAAGAACTAATTACAAAAGTCATAGATCAAGTTACACATGGCTTTTGGGAGAAGAGCATCCGGGTAAGTTGCTTGTGTTCTTCTTTTGTGCCATGGGTTAGAACGAATTTCTGAGTGATTCTGATACCGAAGATGAAATCATGTTTCACAGTTGAACGATGGTAATTTAGGTGAAAAGATTCTGATGTTTCTATGATAGACTAGAGGAATAACATTGTTGTCAATCTCTAGATTGATGTTTTTAGGAGAAAGAGATAGAACAGATAGTTACGCAGTAGGGTATCATGAGACAGGAGCAAGGCTAGTGCTTGGTCACACTTCATACAGATTGAACACGAAGAGAAAAGCAACGTTATTAATTGTAGCTCGTATACAGCTGATCCAGAGAGGGTTCTTCGTTCTTATTCTCAGCATAGCTTCTTTTTTCGAAGTCAACGAATGGCATAACTGATGTAGCGGACATTACTGAAGAATTCTTTTTCAAAATACTATTCTATTTTCAGAAGCGCAGCGGCAAGTATATGGGCACCAATACTCGTCACTCTGGCTGTCCTAGGGATTCTTGCTGCTGCAGCGACAGTAATCGTTCTGTCACTGATACCAGTTTATTTGCCAACCAAAACAATTTCTCGTAGAACCAACGGTAAGCTAATGTCTTGTTTTATTTACTTGAATGATTTCATTATTTATTTGGAAGATCGAATAGATTAAGTGTAGAAATTCGAATGAATCATCAGATGAGATGTGATGAGACTAACTTAAACATTTTGGAGTCTCATAGAAATCATGATTTTTTGTTGATGTTTCTATAAAGCTGAGTCAAATAAGTTCTAAATAAAGTACAGATAAACAATAAAGTAACGAATACGAAACTAGTATCAATATTCGTATGCATTGTAACCAGTAGCACCAATTTTCACTCAAAAATAGCTCTCGGTAACATTATATCTTTTTCACTTACGTTTGAAAAAATAGCGGTTCTGTCCTAGAACTCGAAATACGATATAAAATAACGTGAAACTCATTTTCCCCCCAAAACTGGATATACTAGCTCCAGAAGGAATCAGTTTATTAGCGACAGACCTATTACTATAAAATAGTTTCGATAGTAACTTAACACTCTGCAAAAGAATATTGTTTGATTGAGCTCGAAAATCAGATCCTCATGTGGTTATAGCCTCTTAAAACATCAATCGAGTGATCGACGTAAAACAGAGTACGTTAGAAAATTTTGAAATACTCTTGCGAATGATCTAAAGACTTATAATTTGTCAAAGCTCTATGAGGTAGGACGTATGAAGATTAACCCAAAGCAGCTGAACTGTTCGATTAATTCTTTATTTTTGTTTCTTTTCATGTACTGAATCAAATAGCAACTACAACAAGAACCACAACAACTAGTACCAGTAAGTAATAGACTAAATAGTTAAATAGTGCTTCGTATAGTGATTTAACGAAAAAAAATTTGAATGTTTGAAAACTGTTGAACGTCACATATACAAAGATGTTCGAAATAAGTCAACGTTGCTCTTAAAATATTTCTGAAAATGACTGAACGTCATTTCGCCAAACGAAGTTCATATAATGATGTATAATTGAGAGAAAATGAAGTTGTTGCAATTGCTCGATCTTTCTTTTTTCATTTTCGATAGTTTTTAGTTTTTTGATTGATTGAACACTACTCTTCTACTGCGAGACTATGTAGATCTTGGGCTAATGAAATAGCACAAGGTGCTTTGTTTAAAAGAAACGACTCATGTCCAGATGTTGACCATCTGTTTTTAGGTGTTAATCGTTCTTGCCTTTTACTTACCTTCGTGACATTCTTAACTCTTCTATCTCTGCTACTTTCTATTGTTAGTTTCTCTTGTTCAAATGATATTATTCTTAAGCTCGGACTTATTTGAACTGATCGCTTACACAGGTTTTGTTACCGTCGGGGACTGACATATACAACCATGAGTTTTCGTGCTTCTTCTCCGCCTGCATTACGATTCGAAAAGTCGTCTCACGTGCATGGTGGGCCATTCTAGTTTCATATCGCTCATTTCAGTCTCTCTTGTCATAAATAACACAAGACATACATACTCGTTTACTATCAGAATTTCTGTCGAAGTTGACAGCTTTATAAAGTCGTTGCTCTTCTACAATTCATGAATCATGGTTTCTGCTGGTGAACTTTGAATGCCTTCTTGAAAACTTCGAAACCATTGAACTATTCTAGAAAGTTCTTTTCGATGACTTATTTCTTTCATAAGACAGTAACAATCATATGTTCGAATTTTATTGAAAGATCACTATTCTTACGAATCGCGAAGAAAGAGAATATCAAAGAATGAAATTGCTTAATAAGAAAAGCACATTTATCTAGAGCATGTATTTCGACCCATTGTCTCTTGAATAAACTTCGTCGAACGTATATCCCATGCAACCTCCTTATGAAAAAATAATAAAACACTAAAACAAGAATTTTTTTAAATTCTTTTGCTTACTTGCAAGTTTAAGCTCGAGTAACTGTAAGCTGGAAGTAGCGGAGTTCAGGCTGTAAATTCACTATTTAGAAATGAACTCCACGTAGTAGGATATATTATCATTAATTTGAGCTGATAGATCAATATTTTCAAACTTTTCTTTTCCTAACTCTATGCCTAGTCTATATTGTGCCTTGAAATGGCAAGAGCTTTCTGTATAAAAATTTACAAACAGACTGAAGTCGATTTGTCCAAGCATATCGTAAAAAAATGAGGGTTTATGAGTTTGCAACTTGACGTAAACCCTTTTTCCCGTTTTTGAAATATCTATTAAAATCTTTTTCCATATGATAAACGAAAAAACTGTTTATTATCTTTGTCATATATACGACAAAAAAGAATTTATATTCCGTTACAAACTTATAAACTTCTTTTTTCCTTTATTACGGAATCAAAAACAGTTTTTTTCGTTTATTATTCTTCTTCGGATATTTTTCCAGTGTACTGCAGGGACACTGCGTAGCACATGAAGTTTTAAATTCAAATACAACTCATCATATTCATTTAGGTACGACAACAACAACACTTGCACCTACAACACTGTCACATACAATGTTTTCTTTCCTCCATCGATCAATGTCGTACGAATACTTCGAGTTGTTTGAAATATTTGAATAGAATCTTTGTCCTGACTGTGCATGCACTATGTCATCATTATTTGAAACAGCAGCAGTAATTCTTGCTGTACTGTCGTGCATATAGTTGAATTGATGTTTGTTGCTTCCTGTCGTTCATGCTCCACGTTTTTCTTCAATGCACTTACAGCCTTACGCCATTGCTCTGTTATAGCCAATATATGAATAGAGTGATTGTAGTAACTATTTAGTTGTAACCTTTTCAGCGAACATGTTTTCCTTTCAAATGAATTTATGTAAACCAAGCGCAATATTCGAATAGAATCGTACTGTTTAGCTCGATTCAATTAACAGTATTTCTCTTCCGATGTGATCGAGTGGCATATTTCGCTAATAAATGAGTGCTATACTTGAATGGAATTCTGGTTAGAACGATTCATTTTGTTGCAAGACCTTTATGACATGATCAAATGACCTAATTCTTTCTGAATTGAGTCATATACTTGAATGGAGCCCTGGTTATAACAATTCATTTGTCAATAGATCAATGCTGATATGATCGAGTGACACATTCCGTTTCGAAGTAAGTCATATAATTGAATGAAACTCTGCTTAGAATGATTCATTTTGTTGAAAGACCTTTCTGATGTGGCTAAGTGACACACTTTGCCTCGAAGTAAGGTATATACTTGAATACAATTCTACTTAGAATCATTCATATACTATTTCAACTTTGACGATCTAGTTTGGTACAAACTTTTTCTAAAATAAAAGTGATATTTGTACAAAGTCTTTGTTAGAAGTGATTGATTAACATGTCATTTTTTATATGCTAGTCGAGTGGCATACTTCATCTCGAAGTGACTGATGTACTTGAATGAAACCGTAATTATAACAATTCATTTGTCAAAAGATCTTTGGTAATGTGATCGAATGACACATTTTGCTTCTAAATGAGTAATATAATTGAATGAAACCTTAATTAGAACGATTCATTTGTCAATAGATCTTTGCTTACGTGAATAAGTAACACACTTTATTACGAAGTGAGCAATTTATTTGAACAGAATTATTTTCAGACTGATGCATTCATCATGTATCTTTTATGAGTGCATATAGTGTTCGTTAGCTTAGTTAAGAGTGACATATATGAACAAAATCTTTGTTCCACACAATCATCATTTAGGTATGTCGATAAACTAAGCTGAATGTGAATTTTGTTTTTTTTTCTAGCGTTATACCTGAATGTAACTTTGCTCATAAGAATTCATTTTTCAATAGATTTTTTTAGATGTGATTGAATAATAGAGTTCACTTTGAACTGAACGATATACTTGAATAGAATCCTGGTTGTAGTGGTTCATTTGTCAACTCACCTTTGCTGATATGATCGAGTGACACGCTTTACTTCGAAATGAGTGGTATACTTGAATGAAACTCTTCTTATAACAGTTCATTTGTCAATAGATCTATACTGATATAACTGAATGGTACACTTCGATTCGAAGTGAGTAGTATATTTGAATGGAACCCTGGTTGTAACGATTCATTTGTCAATACACCTTTAGTGATATGATCAAGTGACACATTTTGCTTCGAAGTGAGCAGTATACTTGGATGGAATCGTCTTTAAAACGATTCATTTGTCAAGTGATCTTCAGTGATATGATGGAATAACTTACTTCACCCAATTAAATGAGCTCTTTGAACATTAACTTACTTAGAATGATTCGTTTGTCGGGTGAGCTCTTTTGTTAAGATGAACTATTGTCCTTTGCTTTAGAATGAATGATCTACTTGAAGAGAACAATTGTTGATGCTAATCGCTAACCTTGTCGTCTTCCATCATCTTACTTAATCCCAGTATCCAATCTGAAATGAATAAGACAGTTGAACAGACTCATAGTAAAAATGATTCATATCCCATGCGTATCCTAAAAGGTGGCATGCACCGATGTTCTGTTCTAAAATAAGTAAAGTGCTTGAATAATTTCCTATTTGAAGCTGTATACTTGAGATGTAGTGCTTGGACATTAAGAGCAATGAGATTTTTTCCAGCAAGGTAGAAGAATAATTGAATAAATTCATGTTTCAAACGATTCACTATTCACTTGATTGTCAATCATGCGATTTAAATCACAGTTCATTTTAAACTGAATAATGTATTCGATCAACACACTGCAGCTGGTGGAAGTGTAGCTATTTCATTTCTATGTGTTTCTCAGTATGTCGCAAAGTGTTGGTTTTTGAGAATAGCGCAACGAACTATTTGAATCTGATCACTGTCTTGCTAATTCATATTTCACACATCATCACTCATGTAGACCAAGCTAACTCTTGGTTTCATTACGAAATTTATCTGAATAGAATCTTACTTCAAATAATTCATCACGCATGCAATCTTCAATAATATGTTCCACTGTCACTGACTGCTTGATAATAACATAAATGAACTCGAGCTTAGTTATAATAATTCACCTACCATGCGCAGTTCAATCTTCTGTTCTACTGACATTGGTTGCTGGAGAGATAGATAAGTGGATTTGATCTTACTTAGAAAAATTTATCTACTATGCGCTGTTTTAGTACATGTTCTGATATTATCGATCACTTCAGAATGAAAAATAATTGAACACAACCTTACTGAGGATAATTCATATGTCATGTGTTGATTAATTCCATGTTATGATGTTAGCGATCGCTTCAGAATAAAATAAATGAACTTGAGCTTCATTTGATAATTCACATAATATACGCTGCTAAATCTTCTATTCTACTGACATTGGTTTCTTGCGAGTAAAACAATTGAATACGACTTGTCTTAGGATAATTCATATAATCAAGCGTTGTTCAATCTTATATTATACCGTCATCGATTGCTAGAGAGTTAAATAATTGAATACGACTTTGCTTGGAATGATTCAGTTGTGGTATGATCCTCTAACACGATGTTTGTAGTTAAATTTTGGCTTAGACATGCATGAAAACGAATAGACTTATTGTTATTGCTATATATTTTTTGTGCAGACCTTCATCGTGAACTGTGCTGTTATGTTTTTGATGTAATGAGAATCATATATATGAACAAAAAGCTGCCAGTTTAAATGATTTAGTAGTAAAGTGATATTCGATGCCATGATTCAGATGCGTACTTTTCTTCGAGTTGTTCGGTATACTTGAACAAAGCTGTGGTTAGGAAGATTCATCAATTTTGTGATTTAGCACTACTTGAGAGACTTTTATATTACATTCTGGATGAGTTACATAGTTGAAGAAAGCTCTACAACTAGTCACTTATGACGCATTCATTATTCGACGGGTAAATGATACACTAGGCTTTGTTCTGAGGAATTTCTTTGAATACATATTTTCTCAGAAATGTTCGACTAGTATATGAGCTGTTCTAGTTAAGTAACATCCAGCCATTGCTTGCAAATGATTGATATATTTGAATAGAGTTATATTTAGATTTATTCATTTTTGTGATGATTTGTTTCGTCATAATAACAATACAAGTTTTGTCCCGGGGTTAATGGTATATATGAGAAGAGAGATTGTTGGTAGTGTTCGTGTACCATGTGATTAGCAATTTGATCATAAACTTTAGTTTTAATTCTAAGTATTGACTATCAAATGAATAGGATATTTGTTAAGAGTATTCAATTCCTCGATGATTTTCAATCATATAATGCGTGCGATGGTTTGCTTCAAAGTAAGTATGAAATTTGAATAAAAATGTTGTTGTAGTTGTTCATCCAATATGCGATCAATGATTTGGTGTTGTGTTAAAGATTCATCATTGGTTCGACAACGAACGTGAATACTTTTTGTGGCGGCAGGATGATGTTAAAAAATGTACGCGACGTTGGTCAAGTGACTTCGAACATTATGTATTCTCGTATGATTTCTTCATACACTCTTACAGAATTTATTATTTTCATAAACTTTTGGTGTTATATGAAAGCTATCTAATCTTGAAAAACATTTGTGTTGTTTGTACTTTTGAAAAGGTTTTTAGCATTTGAAAATCTTATCTAACACAAATTCCAATTAAGTTTAGAGTGCTTTCATATAACGTTACATATTTACAAAATGTAGTTTTAGTCCGAAACAGGGAACTTATTTAAGATTACTAACTGATGGTGAAGGTTTTATTAGTAGCTAGTAATCCTAGCTCTTAATTGCTTCGCTCAGCTTTTTCTCTTTTTATTTATCCGCAATAAATATCATGTTTCTTGCCTTTCAAAAGTTTTTTTTTTTTTACATTTAATCATTATTTTTATATGCTTCAATATGCTTAATAAATACTTTATATCACAATACAGCAAACATATACGAATTTATCGAGATGATTGTTTTCCAAGCCCATTAAAGAAGTATATAGTTGCAAAATTTTGAGTTCATGCGTCTTATCAAGTTTATCATGAGTGCTATCACTGCATCTTCTATCTATGAAAAGGAAATTTTATGTTTTGCTTTATGTAATAATAAATAAAAGAGCGCGACAGAAGTTATGCAATTTTTGTTTGAAAATCGTAGTTGAAAAAATAAATAATTCTAAGCTTCTAGTCCGAAGATAAACTTGTTAATTTACGTAGGATATCTTAGGTTAGAGTTCGAGTATTTCTTGAATGGATTAGCTGTCAAGTTCTTTCTAGTCTATTTCAACTGATTTTCAAGTAGAACTAGATGTGGTCTATTCACTCCATGGGTCACTTCTCCAAAACAACCACACTAACAGTGATAAAAATGTTAACTACTGTCCAAAAA